TGCATTATTAGAGGAGTAAACCACCAGCTGATTCCAGGCTTTGTTCAACTGTAACAGCAGCTTTGGGTCTTTCTAAGAGTTCTGAAATGAAGGCTTGTGACCCCACTCATCCCTTGAAAGAACACGAGTCATTTCTTGGGAGGCAGCCAGGAGGAGCGGGGAGAGATGGTGTTTTGCTTCAGGCAGACCCGGGTTGAATCCTGAGTCTGCCATTTACTAGCTGTGTGATCCTGGTCAAGCTGCTCAACCTCTCTGAGCCTTGGTTCCTTGTCTGTGTAATGGAGTGACAAGACCATCTCAGAGGGCTGAGGAGATAATTGAATGAGATAGTGCCTGTAAAGTGCCTACTCAACAGAAGCTCATTCTCTCCCCTTAGTCCAGCTCATCAAGACCATCAGAATTGCCAGCAAACGTATCAGCTTCCCAGCAAAAGTAGGTGCTGCAGAGCTAGTGAGCTGGGACACTCCTGAGAAATCTTGTCATTGCCCTGGGACTGCCTAGAAGTGGCCCTGACAGGGAAAGCCTTCTGGCTTCTGCTAGCCAATGTCCCAATGTTCCAATGTCCCCAGGGTAGGAGCAGAAGTGACATTTCATTTCTTACAGGTTCTAATTTTCCAACATGAGACTCCAAAGACAGAGCACCATCCAGGGTCCCAGGAAGGGCTCTGGAGCTTGGGCAGCAGCTCTCATCACCCCTGAGAGCATGGCCGCTGATTAGGAGATAAGGGAGAAGCCAGGAAACCCCAGTCTGAAGAATAAGAAGTGTGCTTCCTTCCAAACATGACTACAGGTGTTTATCCTGTCTTTATCCCAAAACCCCACTAAAATGAAAGCAGATGCACTTTTTGAAAGTATAAACCCAAAGACCGGGAGACTAGAACAGGAGACAATTTTAGATAAGAGATTTCGAAACGTTTAGAAGACAGAAAGCAGATGGAGGAGGAAAATTAGCAGAGGAAGATATAAGCTAAAGTGCCTGCGGGGGAGGTCCCAGCTGAGAAGCAAACCAATTTGCCCACAGGAAACCTGAGACATGCAGGACTTGGAGGCAACAAATACAGCTAGTTGTGGTCAAACGTGGGCTGAGAGGAGGAGGTTTGTGTGGAAGTCTACAGGCTGGAGACCCCCCAGATTCTCTTCTTTGCCCCATATAGCTGGGCAGCTCACATTCCTCCTCCACCCCCACCCAGGACAGAAGCCTAAGGCTGTCCTCTGGTGAAGCAGACAGCTCTGAACTTGGAGCTACCAGGCAAAGTAAGGGGTGGGGTGAGGTTCAGGACTTTCTGGGTCCCATTTTCTGGTCCTGCTACATGCATCCTGCCCCCAGGCAATTGATTACAGGATTCTCCTCTGGAGTAGCTGACTTATCTCAGAGAAAAAGACATTAAAATACTGACATTTGGCGATTTCTGATGTAAAACGCCCCACTAGTCCTCATGCCACACCTCAGTATCCAGAGCTTCCAATCAGCTTTATGGAGCCTCTCTCAACTAGGAAGAAACAGTCAAGGATGAGCAGACATTTGAGAAAAGATTCCTACATGAAAAAGAGATCAAAACAATGGCAGGGCTTCCAGGGTGTCAGAGCACCCACGGCCTTGCAAAGACCGGAAAACAAATCGAAAAGAATTCTAGTGCAAATTCTCAGAGAAATAGAAAATGTTTGTCCTTTATGGAAAAGAAAATAATCAGAGAACAAGAAAGAACTCTTGGACATTAAAAAACTATGATGGTTGAAATAAAAATTCAGTAAAGGGAAACCTGCCAGAAAACTGAAAAAACAAAGGAAAAAAATAGGACAGATGAGATAAGAAGATTAAAGAATCAAAGAGACAACCAAGAAAACAGGTGGGAGGAAATGATTTTTTAAATATTATACAAGAAATATTCCTGGAATATTTTCACATTGAAAGGGCCAATGAGAGAACCAGGAGTCCAAATGGCACCGATTTCTCAGCAGCAACACTAGAAATGATGCCTTCAACATTCTCAGAGGGAAAAGTTATTTTCAACTTGGAATTCTATATTCAGCCCCTATCAGTAAGTGTTACATTTTTCAGGCATAAACACTCTAACAAATTGACCTTGCATGTACCCTGTCTTGAAAAAACTGCTGGAGGATTTGCGCCACCAAAACTAGGCTGTAAACCAACAAAGAAAATAGAGTCTCAGGAAAAGCACAGCAGTGAATGCAAGTCCCTGGGTGACAGCTGTGCAGCAGACCTAGAGCACAAGCTGCACAGTTTGGAGTAGGGGTGAGATCTGCTCCAGGAGGCAGACCGCCAGGGGTAAAATGAGATCAATACATTAAATGATAGGTCTCACCATTCAGAAATCATATAGATGGTTGCCAGAACTGAAGGAGCAACTAGGGAAAAAAATAAGGCAAGGTACATAAAAAACTAGATAAGTTTAAAATGAGGTAATTATTGGAGCAGCTGGTTGGCTCATGTGGTTAGAGTGCAGGCTCATAACACCAAGGTTGCCAGTTCGATTCCCACATGGGCCAGTGAGCTGTGCCCTCCACAACTAGATTGAAAACAATGATTTGACTTGGAGCTGATGGGCTGGAAAAACACACTGTTCCCCAATAAAAGCTGTTTTAAAAAATGAGATAATTACTAACCCCAGGATAAACAAAGGAAGAAAGGATATATAATCACTGCATACTACTTGGTCTGCCATAAACAATATTTACACAGTGACAATAATTAAACGCTGCCTACTGATATTAACTAAAAATACTGAAGCCATATCCTGGAAGGGTAGGAAGAGGGAAGCAGATAGGAAGAGAACAAATCCTTGTCTGCCATGACAGGACATCAATATATAATTTTAAAATTTGGTAAATCAAGAAAAGCAATATAAGCACGTTGCTTGGATATATGGAGATAAATACCAGAAGCAACAGTTCAAAGAGTGTATTTGTTTTCTATTGCTACATAACAAATCACCAGCTTAAACTTAGCAGCATAAAACAACACATATTTATTATCTCACAGTTGCCACAGGCCTAGAATCTAGGCAGGGACCCTCAGCAGAGCCTCACCAAGCCAAAGTCAAGGTGACAGCTGGACTATATTCTCACCTGAAGGCTAGACTGAAGAAGAATCATCTTCCAAACTCATTCAGGTTGCTGGGAAGGAAACTCATTCATTTCCTTGTGGCTGTGTGACTGAGAGCCCCAGCTTTTTATCGGCTGTTAGCTAGAGGCCACCCTCAGACCTGTAGGCCATCAGAAGTCCCTAGAAGCCACCCACAATTCCTTGCCACGTGGGCTTCTCCAACACGGCTGCCGACTTTATCCAGCCCACAAGGAGAGCCGGTCACTCCAGCCGGCTAAGATGGAGTCTTATATGTACAATCATGGCACTATTATCCCATTGCCTTTGCCAGAAAAGTCGTGCTCTCAAGGGGTGTGAATGCCAGGAGGCCAGGACCACTGGGACCACCCTAAATTCTATCCCCCACAAAGATGTTATTAAACATGTTTTTTTGGTAAGTAAGTAATGCAAAATATATAAATGCACCCATTTCCTAGCCAACCAGTTTTCTTCCCTGGGAGCAACAAACATAAACCAGTTTCTCTCATAACTTAACTAGTGAGTCTATGTATATGACACATGTGCACATATACACATCACTTCTCACTCCCTCAGCTCTCTGCTCAAATGCACCAGGCCCTCCCTGAGCACTCTGTAAAAATGGTGACACAGGGCCGGCCGAGTGGTGTGATGGTTGAGAACTGGCTTGGGATGACAGAGGGCCCAGGTTCGGATCCCACATGTGAGGGCCAGTTACACTGCCCCCCAAAAAAAAAAAAAAAATGGTGACACATGTGTATCTTTACTCCCCTTTTTTGCACAACTGGTAGCATGCTATGAGAACTCATCTGCACCCCACTTTTTGTGTTTCATACAGAGGGTGCCAAAAAAACGTATACACATTTTAAGAAAGGAAAAAAACTGTATTACAATTGTAATAATATACACTGATAACAAAAGATAAATACAAATCATGTGTATACATTTTTTTGGCACCCCTGGTATATCTTGAGATCATTTTATATTTGTATATAGAGATCCTTCATGTCTTTCTCCTGCTGCATTGCATTCATTGACCGTATGGTGGACACGTAGGTCATTTCCAATTTTTTCTAATGAAAACAACGCTGTGATAAATATCTCCAAGGGGAGGTCATTTTGCTGGTAGTTTTGCCTCTGAGGGGTGGGGACAGGAAAGGTCAGGGATCTACTTTTTTCATTATAAGCCTTGTAATCTCACTTGATTATTTTTAAACTATGTGCACATATTACCTTGATAACTATTATAAAAAGGGCTATGTGATCGCCTCGGGGTGAGGCTGGCTACCTGGAGAACCCCTCTTGTCCTCACTGCCATTAGAACAAGCTTCCAAGTCCCTTTTGAGCTGCCAGTGCCCATTCCCTCTCAGGCCCCATTCTTTTCATTTCTCAGTATTTACTGAGCATCTGCTATGTGCCAGGCACTTGGAGGTTCAGGCTTCAGAGAAAAGTAATACTTCTCACTTCTGGCAAAAGATCCCACGCATCTATGAGAGCCAGCATGAATACAGTTTCTCCCAGGCACTCAGGAGACAAATGTGCTTCCAGCCCTCTCAGCTGGAAGTAGAGACGCCAAGAGTGTAGGAAATGTGTCAGCAGCGGCCACCTCCCAGTTCAGGGGTTTTGGAATTTGTTAGGTGTGAAGGTCCTACTTTCCAGTAGGTCTGAGGGGCAGCCCCGGGCGGCTGTATTCTTCCCTTGTCACAGTCACCCACCCCTTCTGGACCCCCATCAACCCCTCCTGGAACACTGCCAGCTACCTCAAGATCCTCATGCATCAAACGATCAGACTTTCCCCTGTGAAAGGCAACAGTAGAGAGGCCGTCTGTGTCCCCTCCTTTTCTTGGCCCTTCTTCCTCTAACTTTGATTTTTTTTTTCTTAGTTACAATCGCTTCTCCTTTTCTTCTTCTCACCCAGCGATTATCTTGGCTTTAGCTGTGTCTGAGTGTCCAAGGGAGGTGAAACCCTGTGACCCTCCATCAGCCATCTCCCTCTGACCCAGTGGACAACAGAGTCTAGCGTTTGTGGCAGCAAGGTAAGCACACATCTAATCTAACGGGGGCAAGAATCAGGCCTTCATGCTTAGTTTTCTGCCTCAGATTCCCCCCAGCAATGCATCATGATGAAATTGATCACCGTCAGGGTGACATTTATTTACTGAGCGTCTCCAGGGTGTTAGACCGTTTCATCCTCATAGCAACCCTAGAAGGCTGTATTGCTATTGTCCCTACTTTATAGATAGAGGAAACTTGATACAGGAAACCAAACCTCTGGAAGGTGTAAGTAATCTGCCTGCGGTCACGCAGCTCCTGAGTGGCAGAGCCGGTATTTAAACCTGCATCTGTTTGTTTCCAGGACCAGGACTCTTAACTTTTATGCTGTGGGGCTCATCTTCCAAACATGTCACAAACATATTTTCTGTTTTCTTTCTCATGAGCCGTGGCCTCGTCAATGACCCACACTGACATCCATCCAACAATCACAAGGGTCTGGGTGCAGTTTTTCCATTAGTTAAAAATCCACTTACTCCTGCTGGCAGCTAGCCCACGTTTCTTCAGCTTGGCCGTAAGGACGTGAGACATTTCATCAAATGCTTTGCTAAAATCAAGGCTACATTTCAACGTGAGATTTCCTCAAGGCTTTACCTCCCAGGGCTCCCTAAAGTCTTAAACCAATAAACCACGCAAGCTCCCCACAATACCCTGAGTCTTGCCTGTGCTGTCATATTTGACAGGTGGGCCTGGCCCTGAGTTGGGAGCTATTCTGCCCTCCTGAAAGCCAGATCAAAAAGGCTGGTGGTGGTTGGAAGTGACAGTGGGCAGCTGGGAGGAGGCAGAGGGTGAAGTATGATGGCTGCTGCCAAGAGGCAGAAGTGAGGAGATTAACGTGGATCTGGAAGGTAGCAGGTACGGTGGTGATAAAATGTGTCCTCTCATCAGCCCAGGGCAGCAGCCTGGAAGACAGATCAGGTCCTCGGGTTCCTCCCTACCAGCCCTTCCTGGTCCTCTGAAGCAGGGCTTACAAACTGAAGGCTGCAGGCATCGGGCCAAACCCCTAAATAGGAGAGGGTCCTGGGGGAGCCGTGATAAATGAATTGCATGTGAAGCCTGCCTGGAATATCATCAGAGCTCCTTCATTGTTAACTCCTATTATTTATTATTATTAGAGGAGCAGCTACGACTCAACTCCAGACAACTACTGTCCTTTAGCAAAGTAGACATAGAGAGGCTGGATTTTCCAATTTATTAAACAAGTTGGGAATCTGGATTTTTGTGTGAAATCTCCCAATTTTTCCATATGAGCAACTACTGCGATTAGGACAAAAACAAATGCGTGTATGGACCAGCTGGAATCAGCCTGCGGGCCCCACTGAGGCCTGCAGGCTCTGCTCTGCAGCCCTGGCAGAAGCTCTGTGACAGGGATCCTGTGACCCCTGGGGATTAGGAACCTGGCAGTGGCCTCCAAGCCTCCCTGTGACCCACACTGCTCCACTTGTACAGACTTCGGAAGCACCGGGAGATGTTGCAGCCCCAGCTGAGCCCTTGAGCCTGACAAAGAGCCAGCCACCCTTCCAACCTGGCAAGGAGAGCAGCAGAGTCGAACCAGGTGGTAGGCGGCAGAAGGACGCATGCAGATGCTGCCAGGGAGAAGCCCAGTGTCCACGTGCAGCACCCAGCACTGAGCGGCTCAGCCCCACGCGGCAGAGGGAGCAGCAGGAGGGGACCACGTAGCATGAGAGCCTCCTGGCCCCTTCCCCAGGCCTCTGTCTCCCCTGAGCAAAATGGGCTTAAACTGGATTGGCTCCCTTCCACTGCTCACCTTCTCTGATGGCAACTTCCACTCGAGGTTTGGCCCTCTGTCTTAGAATCGTGACCACAGTGGGTGCCATTATTAATGGAGGGTGGCTGTGGTCAGAGTAGATACGGCAAAGCATAAACAGAGGAAGAGAAGCACAGATTTAAAGGGGCCCAGAGCACTTCCACATCTGTACCTGCCAGTAACTGCCCTCATGTCAAAGGGACAGAAGTGACCTCTGAGGCTACCTGGCAGCCTGTCCCTGAACCATGGATGGGCTGGGAGGGAACAACTCCCAAGAAGTCCAGTGGTGCTTCCCTCCGCTCCTTTTGCCCTTAGTTCTCAGTGAGAGGGGGCTGCGGCCTTTAGGACCTTCCTTTGTGTCCTTTCTCTCCAAACTTCTCCCCTGGGGAAATTCTGCTGGTGTTTTTATGTAGGGGAATACCCCGCCAACCCCTCTTTGCAGCATTTCTCCTGTTCTTGGGAAAGGTGATCATCTAGAAATGGGGAGGGTGGTGGTGGGAAATGACGCAATACCACCACCACCATCATCATCACCATCATCATCACCATCATCACATTTCGTTGTTTTTTACAGCTTTATTGAGGTTTAATTGACATACACTGCCTATTTTAAGTATCCAATTTGATAAGTTTTGACACATGTACCTACCCATGAGACCATCAACGCAAGCTAGATAGTGAACATATCCATTGCCCCAAAAGTTTCCTTGGGGCTCTTTATAATGGGGTTCCCTCTTTTTTCCCTATCCACAGGCAACCACTGACCTTTCTGTCACCTGAGACTAGTTTGCATTTTCCAGAGTATTACATAAATGGAATCTTATAGTATGTATTTTTTTGGACTGGTTTCTTTCACTCAGAATAACTTTTTTGAGATTCATCCACATAGCTGCTTGTATCGGGAATTCATTCCTTTTTATTGCTGAATAGTATCCTATTATATGAACATAATTACTTTCTATTAAGTTCTCCCTATATGCCAGACACTGGACTGTTGGATTGTCGGAAAAGTCATGACGTGGTTTTTCATTTTCGTTGCAAAAATACATCATGACTTTTCCGACAACCCGATAGCTAATTCATGTACATTCTCTCTCTTAATCCTCACATCCATCCACAAAGAAGAATTGTGGTCTCCACTTTACAGATGAGGCAAGCCAGGCTCAGAGAAGTTTAGTATATTTCAATAGGTCACACAGCAGGTAAGGGGAAGAGCCAGGATTTGAACTTAGGTCTCTCTCCACTGAGTTTGGCTGCTTGTGCCGCTTTCCCTCTGAGGTCCTGTCCATCCCAGGTCTCCCAGCCTCCTCAACAGGCCAGCCCCACCCCCACAAGCTCTGGAGCACAGTGGAAAAGAGTCTGGTTGCTTTGGCCCACTGTGGGGCCCTTTGCACATTGGATGTGGAGGGAAGGAGGTCAAAGGAAAGAGGCAGGAGAACTTGGAGGCATGAGTCCCTCTGCCCTGCACCCTCCACACCACCCCCACTGTTTGCAGAAGAAGATTTTGAATAGACTCAACTTGTTTTTGTGCTGAGATGGAACACGCTCCCTGAGCCTATCAATAGAACGAGGCAGAAGGGTGACCAGGCGGCAGATTGCAGGGGTGGGTGGAGCAGCTCCTCAGCCCTGCTCTGGGTGGGGTGAGAGACTGCTGCTGCTGCAAGCACCATCACTTCCCTTTTCCTCTTTCCCCACAGCCTACTTGAACTGAGTTTCTTCATTCACAGTCGCCGTGTTCCCAGATATCCTGCAAAGGCCTCTGGGAGTCAGGTTACAGAGCAAATAAGCACAAGGGACAAGCTTGTCCCTTAGGGCCTCAGGCTCCCACTTGGGAATCCAGAGAGCAAGCTCCGGCCTCAAGGCGACCTCTCCAAGGGCCCTGCAGAAATGCAGAGATCACTGTCGCAAAAGGCCATGTGCTTAGTGACTTACACCCCCACCCACCTCCCTCTGCTGGAACTATGCAGCACACGGGCCTGGCGTCTTCCATCTGTCCCTCTCTCCTTGTTCCTTCTTTGGGGAAGAGTTCCCTTTTCCCAAAACAAAAAGCCTCTTGATTCTGCTTTCCCTCCACACAGCCTCTTCTGTATTATTCAGCCACCCCACCCACCCCTCCAATCCTCAGAAGGCCTCCCCGCTCCCATGAACTGGTGAAACTCCCCAACAGTCCTCTCCCACAAATTCCTTTTGGAGCATGCATCCTGCATGTAATCCCCCATCAGAAAAGCCTTATCCCCCCCATTAGGCTGTCAGCCCCACGGGGCAGGGCCTCGCCCACCCTGTTCCTTGTCATCTCCTCCGACACTGAGCACAGTTCCTGCATCCAGCAGATGCTCGGTGAGCAATCGATTTCTTGAAATAGTTTTAAAACTTACAAAACTAAACAATGTGCTCTTTGGAGATATACATATTTAGGAAAACTACAAGGAAAAGCAAAAGAATTGTACATTCAAAGTCAGGATAGTGGTCACACCATCAGGATGGCTATTATAAGACAAAAAAACAAACAAACAGAAAATAACAAGTGTTGGTGTGGATGTGGAGAAATTGGGACCCTTTCTGTATGGCTGGTGGGAAAGTAAAGCAGTACAGCTGCTGTGCAAAACCATAAGGCAGCTCCTCAAAATATTAAATGTGGAATTACATTTGAGCCAGCAATTCCACTTCTGGGTATATACCTAAAAGAATTGAAAGCAGGAACTCAGGTATTTGTACGCCAACGTTCAAAGCAGCATTCATTATTCACAATAGCCAAAAGGTGGAAACAACCCAAATGTCCATCAACGGATGAATAGAGGAACAAAATGTGGTATACAAAAACAATGGAATATCATTCAGCCTTAGAAAGGAAGGAAATTCTGACACATGCTACAACCTGGATGAACCTGGAAGACATTAGGGTGAGTAAAATAAACCAGTCACAAAATGACAAATGCTGTGTAAATCCATTTATATTAGGCACCTAGAGAATCAAATTCACAAGAGACAGAAAGTAGAATAGAGGTTACCAGGGGCTGGGGAAGGGAGAAATGAGGAGTTAATATTTAACTCAGCGTATTTAGCTCTAGTTTGAGATAACGAAAAAGTTCTGGAGATGGATGGGGGTGATGATTGCACAGCAATGTGAATGGACTTAATGCCACTGAACCGTACACTTAAAAATGGTTATAATTGTAAGTTTTATGTTATGTATATTGTACCACATTTTAAAAAAAAAAAAATGGGGCCGGCCGAGTGGCGCGATGGTTAAGAACTCGCTTGGGACGCCAGAGGGCCCCGGTTCGGATCCCACATATGAGGGCCAGTGAACACTGCCCTCTACAGCTAAGATGCTAACCAACAGCTCAACCTGGAGCTGGGCGGCCGTGAGTCGCCGGTGACGGCGTAGGCTGCAGCCCCTGCTGCAGTGAGTTGCCATGGGCTATCGTGTGTAGCCAGCAGCCAGCGTGAGCGGCCAGCAGCCGCAGTGAGCGGCCGCCCAGAAGCCGGCGACTGATCTGCCTCGCCCTGGAAGAGCGCAATGATGGTGCCAACTTGGGCCAGTGAAGCAACGTCCTCCACAGCTAGACTGAAGAACAAAACGACAGCAACTTGTCTGTTCCCCTTCCCCAATCTCCCAGCACTGTTCCCATCCCCCCAATTCCCCAATAAAAATCTTTAAAAAATAATAATAATAAAAAATAAAATAAATAAAAAAAGATGGTGGTCACCCCACGGGTAGGGGGAGGGATACATAAAGGCTTCAAGTGTAATGTTGGCAGGTACATATATGTACTGATTTAGATCATTGCCCGTATCCAGCCACATCTGCCTCCTCTGAAACCACGTACATATGCTATGTATCTTCTTTCATAGATTCTAACGCACACATTTTAAAAATCTAATCTCTCTGAAATTGGCATGCATCTCACAATCAATGTGGTAAGAAAAAAATAAGCTTGTGCCATGGTTTATTTGGTAGGCTGTTAGCTTTCTCTGCGGTACATATAATAATGATACTTCTAACAATCAATGGTACCTTAGAGGTCGATGAAACACAGGGTATATATTTGTAAGTCAAAATATGTCACAGTAAACTTTAAATAACAGCTTTATGGATATATACTTCACATACAAAACACTTGGTTAGGCAGAAAGAGGACAGAATGGGGGCAGTGGTGTACTAATACGTGTTCATCAGCCAGCTCTCCATGGAAAAGCATCCTGATTTGCACATTTTCCCGTTTCTGTAGTGTAAATACTCCACCTCGAGAGATTTCAAACTACCAACTTGATGTTGGAGTTGGGAGAGATGCATAGAGTCTGCCCTCGGGAGCCAGCATGAGCCAGCTCCAACACACCATTGGTGGGAAGAGAGGGAGGTCTGCGCATGTCTTTCCCACATCCTCCCACCCTCCCTCCTGTCAGGGGCTGCATCCCCCCACAGTGCAGCTCTAGCCAACAGAGCCTCCCAGACCACTCTCTCTCTCTAGCCAGATGCCCATCTACCATTCCCTCCTCCTGCCTCTGCAGGCTGGCAAGCGCTTCTCAGGGACGCTGGTTTCTGTGTGTCTCACCATCCCTACTTAGTTTCCTTTCCCTGCTCCCCATTCTTCAATAATGCTCTCCAAATCCCTGTGGAACGCACCTCCTGCTTCCCGTGGGACCCGGACTCATACAGGAGGGTTGCCCTTTTTTATAGAATGCATGGGAACAGCCTTTCTGACACTGTAACACTGAAAACAGGGAATGGCGGAGTCAGAAGTGGTTTGTGTGTTGCTCTATGGCCCCCTCTCCAGTTTCCTCATCCCCAGGCCTGGTAACCATCTTTCTCATATTTGATTTCCTGCGGTGCCCGTTCCAGTTCTTTGCATGTATCCAAAAAAATATTTGTTGAATTGTACAGAACTGAGACCATCTATTGCTTTTATTTGCTCTCTCAAAAACATTCTTTTTTCCCGTGAATTTCACTAATGCTCTTTCATTCCTCATTTGAATCTTCTGTTGGGCCCATGCCCAGTGAGCCACAAACAACAAAAAAAGAACAACAACAACAAAAAAAAAAACCCACAGTCCTCTTACAAAAATTGTTGGATTTTAGGCCACACTGGATAATTTACATACATTCAGAAGAATTCAAAAGCCACGAGATCCCAGCCTGTGAAATAGAAATCAGCACAATTTGCTCCCACTGTATTTAAACTCAACGTGAAGGCCAAACTGGTGAAATAGCATTCTGAAGTTTCACCACTTTCTAGAGCAAATACCAACAATCTGCCCAGCTGCAGATGCAAAGTCGGCTTGGTAGAGAGAATGGGTTCTTTTTAAAGAAGATTAGGTTGAGGGTTGGGATTTGGGTTGAGGTTTGTGGTGGTTCATTTCATGTGTCACCTCGGCTGGACCACAGTGCCCAGATCTACGGTCACACATTCTGCTGAATGTTTGTGAGGGTGTTTTTGAACGAGATTAACATGTAAATCAACGACTTTGAGTAAAGAAGATTGCCCTCTATAACGTGGGTGGGCCTCATCCAATCAGTTGACAGTCTGAATAGAATAGAACAAAAGACTGACCTCCCCTGACCAAGAGGAAATTCTGCCAGACCTTCTCACTTGAGCTGCAGCATTGACTCTTCCTGGGCCTCCAGCATGAAAGCCACTTTGCAAATGTTGGACTTGCCAGCCTCCATAATTGCATGAGCCAATTCCTTAAAATGCATCTTTCTTTATATACACATACCCAGTTGGTTCTCTTTCTCTGGAGAACCTGACTAATACACATTTGGATTTGTGACTGTGTTAAGGGTTAAGGTT